CATTATGTACTGTGAATATGTCCTAGTAAAAGACAAAATAATCCTTATGTAACAGAGCGTTTGAAAAAGAGTAGGTTGAGATTCAGCCAAGAGAACCGAGATGGTTTTCTGAGGTTGCTAAATTGTGGAAATTAAGAACTTCTTCCTGAAAATGAGTGCAAATCAATAATAAAAAGTTCTTAAAAATTCAGCATTGTAAAGGACAGAAGTCACATACCAAAAAATTCCTAGTTCTTCTGAATTTTCAACTACTCATTTATTTGTGTTGCTGTTTGCATTTCTGTCAGTAGATAATAGAGGACAGATAGAAAGATAGATAGATGACAGAGGAAGATATTTTCTGTCTGATTAAAAAAAGAAAATGATGTTCATCTTTCTTTTTTTTTTTTTTTTGTACTGGGGATTGAACTGAGGACCTTGCACTTGTCAGGTAGGCGCTTAAGCCACTGAGCTATGTTCCCAGCCCCTCATCCACTCTAAGTAAAGATTTTTAAAACCAGAAATTCACCTAGCTGGGTTTTTGGTTTTAAGAAAAATACCTTTAGTTCTAGTTACACTAGCCCAGTGATTCTTGCTTTTTTATTTATTTATTTTACAAATATCAATTCAACAAGTATGATCCAATAAGATGGTTTTCAGAAGATGCTTGTTCTCTGTATAGCAGTCACAACATAATGTCCATGAAAGGTGAAGCTGAGGTAGGAGCCCTGATAAGACCCCCAATTTTCTCAGGCAGAAAGCTTGTGTCAAAGAAAGCCTTCCCAGAAGGGCTGGTCACTGTTCTCATGAACAAAAAGCTTCTCTCAGTCAATGAAAAACATGTCTAGTGCTGTCACATGATGACTCCACTGAGGAAGCCAACCCTGCTTATTCACAGGAAAATGGTCACCAACCATATTATCACATCCTACTGAGCATTCCTTCTAGCCTCACGAGCTTTCACAGGGCTCAAGGGCACCCTTGTGTGTGGGTGGGCCAGTGAGGGTACAGTAAACTTTGTGGTATTGTAAATAAAATTCAAGGGGACAATTTTCTACTTTGCACAAAAAAAAAAAATGCTATTGCCACTTACAATTATAGCATTCCATTCAATATTTTTCTTCCAATTTACAAAAAATTTACATATTTGAAGGGCCAGCCAAATAGCTCAGTGGATTAAAGCACCTACAAGCAGGCGCAAGGGCTGGGGATTTGATCCCCGGGCCCTGGAGTGCGCTGAGATGGCAATTGAGACTGGATGTAGTGGCGAGCACCTGTAATTGCAGCCCTTGGGAGTCTATAAACAGGCAGGTCAGTAGGAGTCTGATCTAGTAGTGAGACCCTGAACACCCTGTAGGCCCTTCCCTAAAATAAAAAAAATAAAAAAAGAAAGAAAAAGAAAAGAAAAGAAAGAAAGAAAAGAAAAAGAAAAAATTACTTGTTTAAAAAGCTTCAATCAAAGAAAACAGTATTTTCTGCATTCTTTCTGAATGTACTAAGCAATACTGGAAAGGTATACACATAAACCTCATCAATATGCAAGGTAAGGAGGGAATTAAATTCAAGGAAAGGGGGCTAATAAGTAGTATAAATAATGCTGCACCAGGAACTGGTAGGTCAACACAATATTATCATCAATATTTGTCAGAATCTAAACAGAAATCTTTGTCGGGCAATTATTCGACTAAATATGAGACATTGTTGATGTTTTATTCTAAACATGCTTTGTTCGACTTGGAAAACCCATTGCAGAATTAAAAAGTAACAGGGTTGTCTCATCCCACCAGGATGAGTGTTTTTGTGTGTGTGGCTCGCTCAGCCCACCCTGGGGGCTGATGAGGCTTGTGGTGCTGGGGATCGAACTGCAGTCGCTGTGTGCTTGCCTAAGCAGGCCTTTTAGACCACTGAGCTATCTCGCCGGCTCCCAAGTCTGTGAGTCTACTTGATCTTCTGTGATATTTTCAGTTTCTTTCTGCTCTTTTCACTGCCTGCTCGGAGGATGTCTGTACATTTCTGTGAGCTCTATATGCTACCTTCTGTGTTTTTCTAACTGAGACCCTACTAGACCCCAAGCCCACAACCACCGTATCTTTGCAGTCAGGCCTTCAGGATTTGTCCATGGGAGCATCTCTGGGTGGCAATCTCTGTCAGAAGGAAAAGCGAGTGACAGTGTCCACCTTCATGGCTACGGAAACTCTAAATTATCCCTTTCTGTGCATGTCAGTTTCCACAATTGCAAAATTAAAATATAACATGCATCTTACAGAATTGCAGCAACGTGACATAAATCTAATGCTCCTGGCTTATGTTAAACAAACAATAAATGTAAGTGCTAATACTGTAGGGGGCAAATTAAAATTAAGTGTCAATACCAGATCATGTTTGGATTTGCTTGCTGTTATCTAAACAGATTGAAAATATTAGACAAGATTAGTATAACATTTTTAAAAATATTACATAATCTTTATATTTGGAAGCCAAATACAACTATTTAGAGGTAAATAGTTTTTGTACTTGACATATAATGGGGCCTGCGTGGAAGTATCCAGCTTTGATTTATGTGACTGTTTACTAGCATAAATAAATGTTCATGTTGTGAAGCTGTCTTTCTCCTGAAGTTGCTAATTATTTCATAATATGATTAAGGGAGAAAAATTATTATTATTATTATTATTATTATTATTATTTTTTTATTTTAGGGAAGGGTCTACAAGGTGTTCAGGTTCTCACTGCTAGATCAGACTCCTACTGATCTGCCTGTTTACAGCCTCCCAAGAGCTGGGATTATAGGCGCGTACCACGCCCAGTCTCAGTTGCTGCCTCAGCAGCCCCAGGGGCAGGGCAGGCACCACAGGCTCTGGGGATTGAACCCCGGTCCCCTGCACCTGTTGCAGGTGCTTTTAATCCCCTGAGCTATTTGGCCGGCCCCTGGGTGAACAATTGTTAAAAGTGATATCGTAAACTGAGAACAGTGGCACCTGCCTGTACTCCCACAACTCTGAAAGTCGAAGGCAGGAGGCAAGTTCAAGTGGAGACTGGGCAATTTAGCAATTTAATAAGACCTTGCTTAAAAAAAACAAAAAACAAAACAAAACAAAACAAAAAAAAACCCGAAGTGCTGGGTATGTCAGTCAGTACAAAGTCTCTGGGTTTAATCTCCAGTACCTACCCCCAAAAGACATTGTCATAGTCTAATTTTATATATGGTCTCCATTTCTTATCTTGATTTTCCTACTTTATAAAATAGACATCGCGGGAAAACATAATTTTTAGACTGAATTATTTAAGGATGAGCTAAATGTGGACAGCCACTTCTCAGAAATGACGGTACTAGAAAACAACAATGGAGATTAAGTGTAGATGACTTGAAGAACTTCTCAATTTTAAGAACTTGAAAATAGTGGTAAGTAATACAACTTATTGGCTTTATTTCAAGGTAGGTACTGCATATAGCTTCAAAGGCTGGGCGTGTTCTCCATCATTGCTTCTCAAAGAATGAAAAAGCGGTGCCACCATCCGCCAGGCAAGTGTCACATCCAGAGCATCGCTTGAAATTCCCAGGGAGAGGATGGTGGAAGGTGAAGAAATGAAGACAAGAGCCGGCATGTGCAAAGATGAGGTCGGGTGGAGCCCTCTCTCCTGAGGAGAGAGAAGGAAGCCCAAAGGCTTCCTGTGGTCCATTTACTTACAATCAGCAAGAGGGTGGTAACAGGTGAAACCCTCTCCTACTGGGAGAAAGGACCTGCCTGGTGACTTGTTTGTCTGGTTTGTGAGGGGTGCTCTGTTTTCTCAGACTGGCCTTGCTTTCTCCCTATGTGTATGATCAATCTCCAGCTTAGCTGCTCCCTGCATTTGTGTAAGTTAGCAGAAGCTAATTTACTTCAGGATACTCTTAAATTCTTTCTTGCACGTGAGCTTTTTCCACACTTGACTGGTTGCAGGGGACAGCCGCTATGTGGTTGCTCTCACTTTCTTCATCATCACTTTATCCTCTAGGAGAGACATCTTTCCAGAACCACCCGAACAACACAATTCCCTCTAGTGAAGCGCACAGCAGGTTTTAGCTATTAGTCCCATTAGAACTTCACCCTTTGGGGGGAGTTTTGACTGTTGCAAAATAATTTATTTTGAAGAATTACATCTAAGAAGAGCGTATGTATTTAGGGGCTCAGAAAAAAAGAGCAGGCAAGTCCACGATAAGATGTGAAAGGGCCAGGTCAAGCATGACACTTGAAGAAGGGACAAGGAGATAGCAGAGAAGGAAATGGGGGGCTGCTCAGTCTGGCTTCTGGTCTTGCCTGGACCTGCACCTCACGCGATTTCTGGGTCTAGCCTGTCAGTTCACGTGTATAGCAGAATACCTCCATGTATCGGTTTAACGGTCCACAGAAGGGTTCCAGTAAAAGTACGAAAATAAACACTTTTTAAAGGAAAATCAATGTGCTCTGCCCTCCTTATGATGCCCTGGTCCTTAGCAGCCACCGCAAGGGAAAATCGATGGGGAAGAACAGAGAACAAACCAGCAGTGTGGGTGAGACTGAGAGGCAGGCTGCGAAGATCCGCAGCTTAATGAAAACTCTGTCAGACTAGAGAGGGTTTCCCTGGCTTTCGTTCATTTTCACTGTGGCTACTGATCAATATATAAAGAAAAATCTGTCATGCCTTCAAAAATGCAAATTTCATCAAAAGGAGAAGCAGAGTTTAGTAAATTTCTCAAATGTCTATTTGCCCATGTGTCTCCAACACATGTTGAGATGGCAGAATCTCTGAAGTGGACCATACTTGGTCACCCTCAGAGTACATTTATTTGGGCCAGAAGAGACAACCAGTGGAGTCCACCTTCAATCAACTGTGTGGCTTCATTTCTGTGCGTATCGCTGATATTCTCTTAGAAAGAGAATGCGGCCATCCCAAGTCTCTTGGAAAGAGAACAACATAATAAAATCTATGTCTAAGATAATAAAACCTATTTCCAAAATTTATTCTAGTTGACATTATTTTTCCACATCAAAACATCTAAGCTAGAACAATTCCAACATACCTAACGCAGCCCACCAATGTGATGTCAAGGGGAACTCTAACATAACTGCAATAGAATCAAAAAGGTAGTGTTTATTTTCCAAGTATACATTATCTTTTTACTTATGAGGAAATATATATATTGATTTGGCCCGCTCATATCAATAGAACAAAGCAAAATTTTATCCACATTCGTAGAATGAGGAAAACCCAATTTTGTATTTAAGTCATGGTCTAAAAAGGCTATGAAGTTAAACATTCACAACTCCTCCTTAAGCATGATGTTCTGATCTGTGTTAGGTTCTCAGTGAGCTCACAATGTTGATTTGAAGTGATGTGCAGGAGTGATTGCTTTATGACCACCCTGCGTCCTGGATCCTTCTAGAATTCTGAGCCACTTCACTCTGGACTTAATTCTAATAAGCAATCTTTGTTCAACATCTTGTACATGCCACATGTCAGACCACAAGTTAAAATTTTTCTGGGTTCAGAAGCTGTGGCTTATTGCCATCTCGAGGACTGGGCTACTTTACAAACTCAGATATTTTTACAGCATTCTGTGGCTCTCTTCTTGGAAAACCTGAGCCCTAGAGTGAAATAAGGAATCTGAGATGGTGGAGAGAACCCAGGATCCTCTGAGTTACTGAGAGAGGGTTTGTATATGAGCAAATTGATGTTAGAAGATCAATATACTGGCATTCTCTAATAGCAGCAGAGCTGGGAAGTAACAATTCATTTGAAAACTGTGCTCTTAAATTCCAAATAGATTATACTATCAGTAGGTCAGTATGTTAAAATTTTAAGAGTCCTTTAAATTGGTAATAAAAATAAGCCTTGAATTATAACATGCATTTCTAATCATTCACACTTGTATGTTTAAAAAAAAATGGAGGGTAGTTAGGTGAGGAAAAAAGGTAGAGGGGAGGATTAAGCTTGAAATGGAGGAATGGGTGAACAAAACTCCCAAGCATAGAGTAATTGTTTCGTGATGGGTGCTGTTTCAGAAGATTTGTCCCGATTTCACTGAAACTTTAGCAGGTCTCTCCCTGTTGTAGGAGAGGAAACTGAAGTGAAACGTGACTCGGCCCACACTACACCCCTGGGGAAAGGTGCACTGAGATTTGAGTGCATTTCCTTCTACCTCCAAAGATTGCAATTAAGAGAAAAACTTCTTAAAACAGGTATCCTTGATAAAAACAAGGCTTGTTGGCAAGTTCACGGGCCTGCAAATATTGTAGGTTGCCTCTTGGCTCACTTCAAAATTGTTGGTTAATTTCTACCTTGGGAAAGGACTTTGGAGGGAAAAGTCTTTCTTATAGAAGCGAACTGCACACACGTGGATGGCAAGTTGAATGTGAAAAGTGGACAGGAAACACCTACACTTCAGGGCAGCCCTGAGCCAGACGTGAGCTGTCCACGCCTGCCAACAAGGAGCAGTAGGAGTGCTCGGCTGGGAGGAGGAGAAGAGGGGAGCACCTTCATCTTCATCGGGCAAAGCGCAGGCTCTGCCCCTGGGGTGTCATTTAGACCCAGCATCAAATATAATACATTTTCCTTGTTTCGGCTATTTGATTTACTTACCGGTAGAAGTGATGACAACATGAATAATAGTTACCGAAACAGCATAATCCCAAACCCATTCTTCTACAACCAGAGCAAAAAGCAACCCACAAAAAAAGTAGGTGGCTTCTGTGGAGAGTAAAAGAACTGCAAGGAAAATCAAGAATATAATTTCTGAGACTAGAGCAATTAATAATGCTGAAGTACAGCTAGCGATAAGATCATGAAATCTTTTTTTTTTCTTTTCAAAGTTTTATTGATAAACATATAGCAAT